GCCCTAGGAGTGAACCCAAACCAAAATCCGCCACAGAGAAGAACTTTTAAGTTGAGCTTAGAGTCAACTTTAATTCTGAAGGAAATGAACCTTTAAAAAGAAAATTCAAATAATAATATATTAACCTACACTGCTCTAATTAATTTGAGTCCTTGTAAAACTTCTTTTTTTTCTTTTTCCTAAAATGGTTAATCTGCCAGAGCACAACTTCTCTGATAAGATGGCCTAGGGCCAAACACGGTATAATAAAGACATTTATGCTCAGTCTTCATCAAATCCTTGGGTATACTTCCATTTCCTAAAGGCATATCCAGCTATTCAGACTGATCTCTAAGACAAGACTCCTATAAAGAAGAAAACAAACGATATACCCACCGCACCACCCCCTCCTTCACCACTTTCTATTTTCCATCTGAGTTTAAGGTAGTCCAGAAGAATGGTAACTTCTGAAGACACAAACTAACACTATTCTGGACAGCCATGCCAGCTAAAAAGGCTCTGAGCTGGGCTACAACACAGTTCTGGCCATATCTGATGGGGAACCATACCAGAACAAGGCCAGCAGGCTCTCTTCCAGGGATGCCAACACAAGGTCCCCTCTATGGATGGATACAAGTCCATCCCTCAACCACTTGGGGTCAGAGAAGATGTTCCTACATAGTGGCAGCAATGGTAATACATGCAAAACACCTTTGCATCTATAGTACTAATAGAAACATAATGAGAACCACATATGTGATTTTAAATTTTCTAGTACTCACTTAAAAAAAATAAAATGAAACAGACAAAATTAATTTTATACTTTATTTAATAACCCCAATGGATCAAAATATTATCATTTTACTATCTAGACAATATTTAAAAACATTATAAGATATTTTACTTTTTTTTCATAGCATGCCTTCGAAATCAGGTATTTTATAGTTATAGTACATTCAGATCAGCCACACTTCAGATACTCAGTAGCAATATGTGACTAGTGGTGACCATACTGAACAGCATGGATCTAGAGTGATTAGCATGAATAAATAAGGACTGCCATTTATTCTCCTAATACTCAGTAAAGTACCTAGAGACATTAGTTCCATGGTGTTACGGATTAAAGTGTGCCCCCCTCACCCCCCACCCAAATACGTGTTGTAAATCCTAACCTCTATGGCTCTGGTTATAATTCCATTTGGGAATGGGTTGTGTTTGTTATGCTAATAGGGAGGATTAGTGGAGAGTGTATCTTGAAGTCAATCTCTTTTGAGATATAAAGAGATTAAACAATCAAACTAGGAGCAGAGATGGGGTAACGTAGATGCCAAGACACATGGAGATCTCCAAGGAACCAGAAAGCAGAAGCTGAAGAGACAAAGACCTTCCTCCAGAGCCAACAGAGACAGAACACCTTCCCCTAGAGCCGGCACTCTGAATTCGGACTTCTGGCCTCCTAAACTTTGAGAAAATAAATTTCTGTTTGTTAAAGCCACTCATTCGTGGCATTTCTGTTACAGCAGCACTAGGTAACTTAGACACATGGACAGAAAATAAAGCTTTATGAATAAAATAAAAAATAATAATAAGCTGACTTAGTTGCCTAAAATTAAACCATGACTAGAGCTGGAAAAATTTCTGGTCATCCTAAAGTCCAGAACTTGCTACAAAAGACCAAGCCTTCCATGTATGTACACTTATGAAAGAAAACCATACTTACCAGGCTTTCTTATTAAAACAGTGGTAAACTCCCAAATCTCCATTTAGTTCAAATTAATAACAAGGTTTTTCAGCTATATAATCCCACTCATTCTTTTTCAGATAGCTGGCAACTTTATTTCCTCTCCTAATAGCCTACTCCAGTCCCTCCTTTTCTATTTTGTCAAAAGCTGGGCCAAACAAGTCATGCTTCAACTCTACAGCTGTAAAATATAAACTGAATTCTGAATAAAGTTGTATTAAGGCTCTTGGGTATAGTGAAAACATTACCAGTTTGAATATAAAATGTTCACATAATATTAACTTCTAACCTCAAAGTAACTAGCCAAATTCTTAAAAGGAAAAACACAAAGAGTAAATTACCAAATCTTAGAAATAAAAATTATAAATTGAACTTCTAGTCTGTAAGAAAAGTCCCAAAGTCCTAAAAAACAAAAACAAATAAACAAAAAAACAACAGCTTACAGAGTCTGCCCCAGGAGTGAACCCAGGGCACTGATCTGAGCAAGATTTGGAGCGTCAACAAACCTAGATTCGAAGCCTAGCCCAATTACTATGTACCTTGGGCAAATGATTTAACCCTTCTGAATATGCATTACCATCTGTAAAAAGGATATTGCAGGACCGGGCAGTGTTTTGTTCCAATGTACATGGGGTCACTACCAACAACAACCCTTAATACAGTTATCGTGAAGATAGCATGAAATGAAACATAGAAATTAGCATAGTATTTAGGTGCTCAATAAATGTTAGTTAACTCCCAGTTTCCCAATTCCATTTATTTCTTTAATTTGTGAAAAGTAGAAAATACAACTCTGAATGAAGAACTTTAATATCATTAGAAATAGGAGCCCTGTGACACAAAACTTTCGGCTTTTCTCCTCAGAGTCGCTGCAATGAACAGTTCCGTAACATGCCACCAAGAACAAAAGTGTGTAAAAGGGCGCTAGTAACAGCTGTCCTCCACAGTGCAACCACCCTATAACTCAGTTCCTCCCTCATAACCAGCATGTAATGATGTCAATATAATTGTGATGAGCACTATCACAGAGGGATGCACAGGATACCCAGGGAGACCAGAAGGAGAACACTCAGTTCAGCCTGAAGAGAGGTCACAGAAGGCTTCCTGAAAGAGGTAACCACCTGATCTGAATCAGGCAGGCAAAAAATGATGAGGAAAATGGGGAGGAGTGAAGAAAGGAAATCTAGGAAAAAGGAACATATGAATGAAGACATAGGATGTGAAACAACACAAGGTAGATATAGGACAACTGAAGGTAGTTCTTACTGCTGAAATATAAAGTGCAGTTGGGTGTAAGAGAACAGACCAGAGGAACAGACAGGACTAAGGCCACGACAGGCTTCAGAAGACAGAGGACGAATCTTTATCCTGTTGCTGACAAGGAGGGCAAAATAACTAGGCTTGCCATCAGAAATCAAAGAACTGGAATGAATGAAAAAGAGGAAGAAAACGTGGTGGGAAACCAAAGACTGAGGGTCACTCTAAATGACAGACAGCAGATCAAAAGAAATAGATACTGCCACAGCTAACTTATCCATTATTTCTGCCGCCCTTTCTGGAAAGCATAAAAACACATGGAGAAGGAAACATTTTATATGGACTTCGACAGAAAAGAGTCATTTATGAAACATCTGGGACAAGAAATTTTGGTAAAATAGCATTTCACTGAGAAGAATTTCCCCCAAGCTTGGACCTTCCAAATTAATACCAAAGCAGGAAACTTGAGTGTGGTATCAGAGAAAAATCAGCAACAAAATTACAAAACTGTTTAATCTTCATTGGCATCAGAAACTTAGTACCACACAGAGCTGCTCTCTCACAGGGTAAGGGAGAGATTAGAATGGGGTCAAGTTCCTAAGAAGTATCTTATCCTGCCCAATATCACTGTGAGGATCATTAAGAAGAGAAAAAATTAAAATCTTTCCAGTTATTGTTTGTCATGTAATTAAGTTCACAGTACTTTTTTTTTAAGTTAAAAAAGAAAAAAGTCCTCTGAAAAATCTACCACAGAAATGGCAAAAGCTAGAGAGAAGACAAAACATGAGTGAAGTCCTAGAATCAAGATACCATGAAGAATTCTAGGGAAAGTCCAATTCTAGGGAAATCCAGTGAGAAAGTATTTAAAAAGACAGTTTGAGGATTAAAAGCAGAAAGACTGTGCCCTTCTAGGAAATCACATTGTTAAAGGTTCAAACCCCCTTTTTTCTTTTTTCTATTCATAATCTACAGCTCTAGAGTACTCTAAATAATTAGATGCTACAGATAAGGAAAAGCAATTCAGACACTAAAGAATATAAGGCAGTAATGTTTGCAATCCAACATCAAAACTTCTTGGCTGGGCACAGTCCATCACAGGTACTGCAGTCTCTTCCTTGTAACATTAACTTGCTTGCTTCTTGGGTTTCCACATTAAGTCAACAAATCTCTCTCAAAAAGGCTCAGTTATTAATCACCTAACCAACTGTTGTCTCTACTTCTGATAGACAGATATAAAGGAAGGGAGGGAAGAAGGAAGGGAGGAGGGGAGGGAGGGAGGGAGGGAGGAAGGAAGGAATTGGAAACAAATGTCTGCATAAAATCACTTAACTTTCAAAAAAAAGTGAACAACCCGCCTAAGCCAACTTCAGAAATCTCCAAGAGGTTATAAAATTAAGCAATTACTTTCCGAACATAAGAAGCAGAAAAGTCTGTTTTTATTGTATGTGCACAAAGGGATATAAGAAAGAAAAAAGTAGATACACAGGATGGGATCATAAAGATAATGTCATTAAGAGTACGTGCCCAATCCTTCACCCAATTATAGGACAAAACAGTAAGATGGGATAGAGTTCCACCTGTGAAAAAACAATAAGTTCTGAACTTTTTACAGTCTGTACAACTTATTTTGGCATTTAAATATGTCCTTTTCCTCTCAAATATTTACTAAGCATCTACCGTGTTCCAGGCAATGTGCTGCTTTTCCAAGATAATAAGCCCAGGGTCTATCACTAATGCTCGTCTCTCATATCTGCCACAACACCTAGTGCAGTGCCAAGTTCAGAGTAACTGCCCAATAAATACTTGTGAGAATGTTTCTTTCATCAAGTGGACATATGAAAACACTTGAAGCTAGCACTACAGATACATACCCAATGATCCTGCACAGAGACCTCTGCTCAGTTCACACACTGGCCCCAAAGCGGCCCTGAGGTAATTTGTGAAATGTGCCCACTTCAGTAACAGCCTCCCTCTGGTCTCTAACCCAGGCCTCACTCTGGGGGATTTGCCACACCGCACATACCAGTCCACTGAGGAGGGCAGCGGCAGTTGTAGGTATTGACCCCATCCACACAAACTCCTCCATTCTGACACTTGTGGTTAGGGCAGTCATCGATATTCCGTTGACAGGTGCTCCCTTCAAAACCTGGTTTAAGAGAAGAATAAAAGGCAATGATGAAGTGACCTGCTCTTCTCCCAAAGGACATGGCCATCAGAACAGACATACTTCATTATTTCAGTTCAGTAGTCAGCAGCTGCTCAACCCAGGGCTCACCATGTGAGTGGGGTGGCAGCGGGGGAGCCACTTCCCTGTCTTCTCAGGCCTCAAGCATAGCTAGACAGCGAAAGGGACTCATGATACCAACGGCATACCTTCGTAGTTACCACACAAAAACGTCAAAGTGTTTTCATGAAATTAAATCCCAGTGAAAATAAACGTTTACTCAAGACAGATATTCACTAGTTCTGAAAAACAGGGTGTTTCTCTACAGGGGTCCTGGTGGCACAGTGGTTAAGTGCTTGGCTGCTAACTGAAAGGTCGGTGGTTCAAATCCACCAGCCATTCCTAAGGAGAAAGATGTGGCAATCTGCTTCTGTAAAGATTACAGCCTTGGAAACCCTATGGGGCAGTTCTACTTTGTCCTATAGGTTGCTATGAGTGGGAATTAACTCTATGGGAATGGGTTTGGTTTTTTTTCAGATTTGTTTAGGCCCAGACTAATGGGAAGAACAGATAAAAGATTACCTAATTAAATTTAAATTCCTTTAATTTTTCCCAGGATGAATGCTCAAGGAGGCCTCCAAAACTAAGTAGGGATGGGGAGGGAGTGGGAGGATGGCACAGGAAGAATACTGAAGTTAAAGTCTGAAGATAGGGGTCAAGTCCCAACCTCATCACCTACCAGCTATTTAACACAGAGTAAGCCACAAACTCTGAATTGGTGTTCTTATCTGTAAAATGAGGTTGATTCCACCTGTCCACTCTACCTTAATAGGTTGTTATAAGTTGTTGTGAGTAAAGTGCTACACAAATATAAAAAGCTATATGAAAATGTGGTAGCATTAATATCATTAAACTTAACAACACTTCAAATTCTTCCTGCTCCTCTCTACATTTATAGCCTTGCTTCCTTCCTCTTCATTTTTCCCTTTTATGAAAAACGAAACTAGCACACCAAACTCCACCCTAACTGCCCACAGAGTGTTCCTCTGCAATTTATATACTAGGCTTCTTCCCTTCTCCCTCCTTGCAACAAAATCCCTTAGCTAATAAAACAGAAGACTATCCAGCTTCAGGACAAGAGAATGTTCACTGAACATTCTATTTGAAATAAAGTATATGACCAAACTAAGTATTTTGGCCTCCTCAAAATATCCCTTAAGGTTCCTCTATCTCACTCAAAATATTTATTGAATCTTACCCAAGGCACTGGGGATGAGACTGTGAGTAAAAAGAGACAGGCCCTACTTTTGTGGCGTTTACATTCTGGTGTTTGGGACAGACATCAATCATACCTTGCTTTATTCATTCTTTACCACAAGTTACTGTGTTATGTGGAACATGGTTGGTTTTTCTGAACACAGTGGCAATCATGTGAATGAGTATAAACCAAATGGCCAAAAAAATTACCTAGAGACCAGAGGAAACTGCTTCATGGAAGATGAGAATAAGTGAAAGCATGACTGGAGAGAATTGTATTTCTCCAGGTACTTAGGACTCAGTCACTTCAAGCAGATGAATCACTAAGCTTGAGAAAGGCTGTGGAAAACTTTGTAGGCTCAGAATTTTAAAAATTTATCATATTATTCATATTTATGTTTAATCATATGAAAGTTTTTATGAATAGATTAATGAGCCAGAAAGTGTTGAATTTTCTAATCTCGACATTAATTATAATAGAGACCAAATCTACAGATCTACCAAGTAGCAGCACAAGAACTTGAATCAAGACCTGTGTTCCTAGCAGCTTTATTCCTAGTCTTTAACTCTCAATGGAGACACTCTTTAGAAAAGTTAAAAATATGCTTTCAGAATAGGTCCCTGCATGGCGAATGTGGGGAAAAATGAGTGTCCTGGTCCACTGCTGCTAGAATCTGTTTGGTCTAGAAGTGGTGATGGTCATCCTTCCCCTAATTTAATCTCTCTGGAGAATAAGACTATATATGGTTGGCGAGGGTGGGGGGTAGGGGGGTAGAGGAAGCCCTCTGAAGCCAAGCTATAAGAAGTAGAGACTGTGACTCTGACTTTATTTAGCCAAGGCTACAACTAATTAAATTCAGCAACCACAGATAAATTAAGAAAGCAGAAGCATTTCAGCATAACCACATCATATAAAAAACAAAATGTTTTCTTTTTATGATTTATATTGCTTTTTAGGTAGTTTTTCTCTGTTGATAAGTTGGTAGGTAGGTAAGAGGAGCCCTGGCGGCACATTGGTTAAGAGCTATGGCTGCTAACCAAAAGGTCCGCAGTTCCAGTCTGCTAGCCACTCCTTGGAAACCCTATGGGCTAGCTCTACTCTGTGCTATAGGGTCGTTATGAGTCAGAATCCACTCAATGATAATGAGTTTGATTTTTTTGGTTTAGGTAGGTAAGAAGACAGGTAGGTGAAACAGTTAATTTGTGGTTTAAAGCATGGTCTCTGGGGCCAGACTGTAGGTTCAAATCTCAGCCTTGTATGTGATAGCTGAGTGATTGTGGGCGAGATATTTAAACTTTCTTTTCTTATTGGAGGAATTAATAGAACTTACTTCATAGGGTTGTTGCAAAGATTAAATGAGTTAGGTATTAAAAAATACCCAATTTAATAAATGGTGGTGAAATCACTGAATAGCCACACACAAAAGAATGAAGTTGGGCCCCTTCTTTACAGTATACACAAAAATTAACTCAAAATAGATCAAAGACCTAGATGTAACAAGAGCAAAAATTATAAAACTCTTAGAAGAAAACATAGGTATAAATCTTTGTGACCTTGGGTTAGGCCAGTCTTCTTAGATATGATCCCCAAAGCACAACCAAAAAAAGCAAAAATAGATAAATTGAACTTCATCAAAATTGAAAACTTTTGTGCTTAAAAGGATACCATCAAGAAAATGAAAAGATAGCTCACAGAATGGGAGAAAATGTTTGCAAATCATATGCCTGTTAAGAGACTTGAATCTACAATCAATAAAGAAGTCCTACAACTCAACATTATAAAGATAAATAATCCAGTTTAAAAATGGGCAAAGAATCTAAACAGACATTTCTCCAAAGAAGATATACAAATGGGCAACAAGCACATTTCCCTCATTAGCCATCAGGGAAATGCAAATCAAAACAACAATGAGATATCACTTCACATACACTAGAATGGCTATAATAAAAAAGAAAGATAATAACAAATGTTGGTGAGGATGTAGAGAAATTAGAATCCTCATACACTGCTGGTGGGGATGTAAAACAGCACAGCCACTTTGGAAAACAGTCTGGTAATTCTTCAAGAGGAGAAACATAGCGTTACCATATCACCGAGCAGTTTCACTCATAGATACATACCTAAGAGAAATGAAAATATATGTTCACACAAAAACTCGTAAGTGAATGTTCACAGTAGCATTATTCATAATAGTCAAAAAGTAGAAACAACGCAAATGTCCATCAATTGACAAATGGTTAAATAAAATGTGGTATATCCTTACAACGGAATAGCATTCAGTCATGAAAAGGAATGAAGTACAGATACATGTGATAACATGGATTTAAGCCTTGAAAACACTATGATAAATGAAAAAACCCACTATTTTATGATTCCATTTATATGAAATGTCCAGAACTGGCAAATCCATAGAGACAGAAAGTAGATTAGTGGTTGTCAGGAGATGGGGAAGGGAGAATGGGGCATGACTGCTAATGGGTACAAGATTTCTTTTGAGGGTGATGAAAATGTTCTAAAATTGATTGTGGTGATGGCTGTACAACTCTGTGAAAATGCTAAAAACCATTAAACTGTACTGTCTAAATGGCTGAATTTTATGGTGAATTGTATCTCAGTAAAGCTGCTATGTTGGAGTGGAAGCATTTAAAACAGTGCCTGACACATGGTAGTTGTTCTATACATATTAGCTAATATTGTTACATATCAAGGGGATCACAGCATCCTTTAGAAATTATCTACTCTAATCCCTTTATGTTACAGATGAGGAAATTGAGGGCTACACAGCTGACTCGCCCAAGTTTATATGACTAGTAGGTAAGCTGTTGTTGTTAGGTGCCATCAAGTCAGTTCCAACTCATAGCAACCCCATGTACAACACAATGAAACGATCGCCAGCCCCAGGCCATTCTCATAGTTGTTGTTATGTTTGAGCCCATTGTTGCAGCCACTGTGTCAATCCATCTCATTGAGGGGCTTTCCTCTTATTTGCTGACCCTCTACTTCACCAAGCATGATGTGATGAGTAGATAGGAGCTGGCTCTAAAGCAGATTTTTCCACTTCCAGTGAAGTATGCTAACTGGACCCCAGGGTTTCCTTTGAATGGTCTGAAAAACTGACCTTAAGTCAAAAGTTCTCATGTCTGAGAAAACTCAGGCCAAAGCAATTTTCCTGCAAAATTAAGACAGGATTTATGTTTTAAAAATAGAGATAGAGAACTCTTTTTGGAAATAGCTAGCAAATTCTTACAAGAAACAGTCTACCCAAAGGGAAAAGAAAAGGCTTATATGAGTAAGTTACAGTGCAATCACTTCTTAAAAATATATTTTAAGTTTTTAGGAGAAAGGAAAACAGGCAAGCCTCTGGACCCGTGGGTGGGGATGGGTGTGGCATATACACAAAGGCTCACAGGGCCGCAGTATAAGGAGTCTACTGCTTAAAGCCAATTCATGTCCTTAAAAGGCCAAAAGGAGAGGAATTAAACTTAGAAGAAACATTGTAAGACTGCTGCTATAAAACTATAGGCCACATAGTGAGGCCATTAACTGATTAATGATAACACTGAGGGTCCAAAAAACCCCACTGCCAATTCCAACTCACAGTGACCTCGTAGGACAGAGCAGAACTGTCCCATAGGGTTTCTAAGGCTTTAATCTTTACAGAAGCGGAATTCCACATCTTTCTCCCATGGAGCGGCTGGTGGGTTTGAACTGACAACCTGTCTGT